ACTTTAAAATAAACTCTTTCAAAAGAAATCACTTTTTGTATTGTTGTTGCAAAGTGTAATAAGAAAAAAAAAATTATTAATACAGATCACTAAAAAATTCTTATTGTTGTGACTGTTAATGATAATTTTGATGCAGTGATGGATTAGGAACAATAAAATAAAGAAAAAAATAAATAAATAATCATTGTTTAGGAGCAAATAAATCAACGCGTATTCCAATAACAAAACTTTTATCATAAATCCTCTCACTGTCCAAGAACGGTTATAGATATTTATAATGTAAAAATAAAAAAAAAACAGTATAAATCACGATATGTATCAATATAAGTTTCAATTGACTGAATACGTTTATATCCAAGAAATAAAATTTCATTAGGAAATGAAGTCGTAGTTTAGTTTTAATTTGAAGATAAAATTAAAAAAGAAGATGAATTTAAAAGCATGCAGTAGTGTGGAAATATTGATGAGGAAGATGATGATGATGAATGACAACACCAAGACAAAAGAACCCACTTATTGCATATATCAATACTATTTTTGTTAGTCTATCATTCATAGACTGACAAAATGCTAAAAATGTACACTAAATGTTTGTTATTGGGTCACTCAAAAAAGGCAGATTCAAGAAGTTTCCAGTTGTTCACCAATCATTCAAACCGTTGTCCGGAATGCTTAGTGAATGTTTAATACCAGAATAATTCAGAACTTACATGATGGATGCTTGCAGATGATGAGTGACCGGTTTTACTGGCACTACTGGACCAGGATCTTTGACCAACAATGAAGCCGACTTCTCTTTATAGGCCGTAACCTTTGCCGGTTCGTCGGTTGGCGTATTCACCTGGTCTTTAGTAATTTCCTTTAACTGTTCTACTACTGCTAACTTTACTGCTTTGTCGTTATTTCTTACAGCTGACTTGACATCTTTGTCAGCCAACGATATTTTCCGATTTTTGAAAAATTTTTTCTTAAAACTGGCAATCTGCAAAAATAAAAATAAGAAGTTAGAATAAATATAAAATAAGACAAATAAAAAAAAACGCTGTATTTCTCTTTTTTTTTCGTTTTTCAGTATAATCCGTTAAAACCGCCTAATACTACCCACTTAACGCTTTACAGCCTTGTATTTCAAATATTTCTCTTATTCCTCAGCACCAATCAGTAGAATTTCGGCGTTATTTTGTAGTGTTCAAAGTAGTTGCTACTATTGTTGAAAATAAGACAGTGTAACACAGCAAAAGAAAAAGAACACCCTTCTTCTCTTCTCCTCCTCCTAAAAAACACACACACACCTATTTCCACAAACCATTTGTAAATATGATTATCGTTAAAAACAAACAATAACTTTAAAAAAAGGTGCCCTGAAAGTCATTAAGCATCGTTCATCAGAAGAATAAATGCTGTTAACATCAGTTATTTCAACAAAATTATCAGTAAGACGAAATGTTTGGTAAAAATTGCAATAATTCGTTATGCATCTTTTTCCTTTCCTTTTTTTTT